GCCTTATTTCAGGCATTTATTCAAATGGCTTGCATTCTTTCAGATTCATTCAGAGTCAGTACAATTTAAAATTGTTCAAAATAACTCACCTTCCACTTTCGAAGCTTGAAGAGTTGAAAAAGTGGGAATTTGCAGCCGAATTCCATCGAAATCAGCTGATTCACCGTCACCGAGCCGCAGCCGCTGTCGCGTCACAGTGCAGCGCGGCTGTGCCGCCCCGACAGTCCGTAGTGTAGGACTGTAGTTCCTCTTGCCTCTGCATCATTTCCGCCTACCAGATCACTGTGTTTCTACATATACTATTTTACGCTGCTCCTATTACTTCTGGACTGTAGGAGAAAAAGTGGGCTAAACGATTCGAAATGCCCCATGTATGACATGTTCGACCCCCCATGAGCCTTGGCATCGTGTGTGGTCTTGTCTTCAGTGAGTTTCTATAGCCGCAATCGAGGTGTTAAATCACTTTATTGGGCTTACTTTTGGCTAGTCGCCTTCGTCAGAGCCTGGAAGTGAAAGATCAGTGTTCTATCTTCATAAATCATTCCAAACTTAACTATAGTCCTTCATAGACCAGAGGCATCTGGGTAGGATCAGAAACGCAAGAACTCACCTTGGGACATACTGTTGGCTTTGTTGGGACCACCGCTAGACTGACTGACTGTGGGTGGCTTCAGATGACCCAGCCCCTCGACCTGAAGCCGATGGCGATTGAAGCCCACACAGGTCAACGAATGGGGCGAGCTCGTTTGTAATGGCGAGACACTCGTCTTTCTTGTTCATTTTTGGACCTTGAGTGCGTATCTAAAAGGCCTCCAAAGAGTTGTGGGCTGAGGTCTGCCGCTTACGCATCAAAATCCCTACAGTAACCTCAAAATCCTCACATCCACCGCGCTGCCTCCTGTAACTTCCAGAGCGGCTCCGGTCTTGATTTTTTCTAACTCATCTAAGTGTTCCCTGATCCTGGAGCTGAGCGGTCGCCCGGTTTCACCGCTCTACTCATCCCACATGATATCAGTAGATCACATTTGACCTGATTAAGTCACCCAACCCCATGAGGACAAATAACACAATGCGGGGTGTTATTGGTCAATACTGGTCAATACTACTGAATATTGAATATTGAATACAATACCCGCGGTTGCGTAGCAGCTCTTTCTTAAGGTTCGCAAGCGAGATTTCGCCCACACCGACTGGGCCATGGAGACCACACCTGCACAGAAACGTTCTTACGGTGTAGCTGTAGCTCACGAAGGGCGAACAAAAGGGCACCTTTTCAGATTGCTTTTCAATTTCCGAGCCCTCTTACCTCCTACGGAGTGATCCAGGAAGGCGCTCAACCCTTGGGGGATAACCGTTGGTTCGAAATGCCATTTCTTGACTTGTTCTCAGTTTTTTTGGCGCTTCTACACGTGTTGATTGGGCGAATCACCGTTTCTGCAACGCTCTGACCCAAACACATTCTCTGCACATGCGCCATATTTCGGTAAGTCGATCTTTGATTCTCGACGCCAACACGCCGATTCATCGAGTCATTACGGTAGGTTAACATTGCCTTACTATTCATGGGATCTATTCCACAGAGGCGCGTGTGACTAACAAAATGGAAAGAGAAGATTTATTTGAGATCACCCGGTAGGTGAAACTTGTAAAAGATTCATATGGTGTTGAAGACGCAGATACTGCATTAGAGCTGAGTTTGAAACATACGAAACATAAGAAAATATAAGGTGTGAGTTCGAGTACAGACAACCCTGGATGAGGAAGTTTCAGACAGAACATTATGTTGCAACGGTATCAGAACGGCCAATTCAAGATTTCAATTTTGTCCATAACAAAAATTGCACTGCTTAGGTCTCTACCGCATTAGGGTTGATGCTGTTTAAAGACACATGGTACGCTCAAACACATTAAGGGTGTATGAGACTAACAGCCCCCAGCTGTCGATGTGTCGTGGTTTCCCCGCCCGAAACTGCACTGGGGTCCTAGTACGGGACCGTGGGAAAGGCTTATTCCTTGCTACACCGCCCAAAATGCACCGCGCGCAAGTTGCATTTCGCCGCGCGCAAGTTGCATTTTGGGCGGCGTAGCAAGGAATAAGCCTTTCCCACGGTCCCGTACTCGGACCCCCGTGCAGTTTCAGGCGGGGAAACCACGACACATCGACAGCTGGGGGGCTGATAGTCTCATACACCCTCAATGTGTTTGAGCGTACCATGTGTCTTTAATAGATGTCCATGAAAGCGATAACAAATGCCTCGAGGTGATTAATGACCTTCTGTTCTCTTGATGCTCGCCGAGAGCAGCCATCTTGATCACTTCTCCTCTAGCTGATGATGGAGTACACTTCAGCGACTCTCGGAGTAGACGCTGAACAATCAAAATTGAGTTGTACACATCCCGAGCTGCAGTCTTGTTCGCTGGAAAACGGGCTTGGCCCCCTCTTCCAACCAATAAGATTGCAGCTTGTGCTTGTTCCCAGCCAGCCTTTCTAAACGCGTCGATTCAATGGGTTTGTCCGTTAAACCGACGCGCCCATGATCCGCAATGAGCAAGATTCTACTTGAATAGAGGAATAGCGGCAAAAATTGAGAAAGATATTGCAAATCAGCTTCAACAAGGGTACTTGAAGGGAAAGCAAGTGAATACGATTCTCTCTCAGTTCAACTGCGCTTTTCAAGCTTGAGCCAGCTGAAGGGAAGGGAGGGCGCCTTTCGATGGGCTCAGAAGAGCAGAAAAGGCACTTTGTCGCCCAACCACTCTGAAGGGTTTTAAGGCTGTGAAAACTCACCGAAACCATGAGATTGTATTCAGCGGGAGATCAGCTCGTTCAAGCGTTCTCGTACCCTAAAAAATAACAAATCGCTCTTACTTACATGAATCAGCGAGATTCCGGAGACCGATGAACGACTAAAATCCCTCATTTCCCCAAGCTGAGGTGTGCGGTGATGCCTGCCAAGCGGGCGAGCTACTGCGGTGAAACTTATATCGTGCGGGGTGTGCGGTGATGTCTGCCAAGCGGGCGAGCTACTGCGGTGAAACTTATATCGTGCGGGCAGTGTCAGAGGCGGTATAACATAGGAATGAAACTTGGGAAACTGAACCAGCGAACTACTGTAACAACAATTCACAGCATGAAGGTTCTAAAAAAAAAAGAAGGTTAAATTCATCTAGTTATAACTGCAAGTGTTCTCATTGTTTTGCTTTTTGATCATCAAGTCGGCAGATTCTTGTAAGTAAATTTCCCACTCTGATTAGGGTACCTGGAAATTCCATCTTCGTTTTCGAGAACTGAAATGTCGCTACGCTAAGGAGGGGATTGTCTCTGATGCGTACTACTTTCCTTCACCGCTTTCATCGACAGCAGTGCACGTCGCAGGTTCCCTCGTGCTTTGGCCATAATCTGAAAACAGCATATTAACTCATGCAAATCACGGCAACTGGTTCCAGTCGCTCACCCTGACAAAGCCTATATGAGTCAACAGCTTTCTAAATACTGGCCAACTACCTCCGCATCCACCTTTAGCTCCGCTCGAGACTCTCCAAAGACACAAAATGATAATTTTTTTCGGAAACCGAATCGCCTGAAACCTCGAACCTTTTTCAGACTACTAGCTGTAGCTCTTGTCTCAAATTTTGGTCTATTTCCTTCGCTTTGAGTCCCGTACAATTCACAATCGCTCGAACTCCCTAAGAAAACCTTAGTGCCGGGCGCTTGACAGCCACCTGCGTAACCTAGGCTCCGCCCCCCCCCCTCTGATTGGTCGAATCTGTTGGCATAGGCTCTTAAGGTCTATGCGTCACAATAGCGATTATTCAGTAGGGCGCAAATGGCTCACAGAAGCAATGCGGCTGCGGACTTACACCGTATTCGACGCGCTTTACCTCAAAGCGCCAGTTTCCGTTTAATCAAGTAGGAAGCGACGTGAAGGAACGGCTTATTGAAGTACATGAAGTTAGCCTTCAACCAGGAAAAGACCCATATAACTGGAGTTTTCAATAATTATATAGATCTGATAGTCAACATGGTGAACGGAAGGATTAATAAATACTAAATTGTACAAAAACAGATGACTCTAGCTTTGAGGTAGTCAGATTTTTGCATAGTAGTACAAACATTTCCCTTATTAATAAATTTCTATATCTGTTCGATCATTGATATTCGAAAGCAAAATAACGGATATGGTCACAACACCTTTGGGAAAAGTTTACAAAGGAGACTTTATTATAATTAACGCAGTTAAATGTTCTTACAAAAACAAATCTATATTTCACAAGTGCTGAAAGTAAGTAAACTGGCTTAATGTATTCTCACTGGTAATGCTAGTTGAGATTAACTCTCGTTTGATAACTTCATTCCTGTATACATATAATAGTCCTTCAGATGGCTGTAGCCTTCCAAGTATAATCTTTCATAATGCACGCTCGTGTTTGTAACACGCTCTGCTTATTATCCTTCATTCAGTCCGTTGTCCTGTTCCTTTCAACCCATTCCTTATATTGCATAAGTTTTGCATGAGCGTCTTAGTTACTACTTCTCTTATTTCATCTTTTTCGTCAACTCCTTCCCGTATAAGTCATTGTCCTTTTGTCGTCAACCCAAGAGCTTCGGGTTGTCGAAACAACAGTTAGGTAGTTCGTCTGATAAACAAGCGAAATGGATCATGTGTTTTGGAGCGTTTTCTCCAACCAAATATTTGTTTTCAATGGTTTTCGCCAGGTCATCTTAGTGTTTGAGTTTCATTTGATGATTTTGAATGCTAAAATACTTTGGAAAGGTGAAGTTGGTTCATTTACTTGTCAGGTTTCATTCCTCATATTATTCATTTACCGAACGTCATTGTGTTAACGGAAGACGAGCCAAATTTATTTCATACCGGCTCCTATCATGTGAGAAGAACCAAGACAAGGAGCCCTCATAACAAAAGACTAATACACGTTAGGCGTCCATGAACAAGGATAGTTTGAGGATTCTACGTTAGCTAGTAAAACACCGGATCACAAACTGAAACCTGACGATTAAATGGACCAACTTCACCTTTTCAGAGTATTTTTGCATTAAAAATCATCAAAAGGAACTTATACACTAAAGATGACCAAAGGAGAGTCATACAAGACTGCCTTCTTGAGGTAAAGCGCGTCGAAAATGGTGTAAGTCCGCAGCCGCACTACGTATTGCTTCTGTGAGCCATTTGCGCCCTACTGAAAAATCGTTATTGTCTATGCGTCACGATTATCGCACTGTTTCCTCAAAAGCCCCTGTCTGACTGGCGCACTTGAGTTGTCAGTTTGAAGGCCCAAAACACCCCTAGAACGCCGAATCAGCTGAATCAAGACACAAAAAGGTTATCAGTGTTTTGAGTTCTATCGAATGAGCTGGCACCTTTTGGTTAGTGAATTATCATTTTCGTGGTCGCAAACTATAGGATATAGGAGCTTTTACGGTCGTGAATTCCGAGCTGGGAAGTAGAGCAAACAAGCCTCTGCAACTGAAGGGAAATAGGAATGCTGTATTTACCCATGATTTCGCGAAGAGACTCTTTCTCAAGGAGATAACAGGGCGCTCCAAAAGATGAGCTTACCATTAGCTAGGAACAGCTCTCGTATGTGAAGACGTGGGGAGTGTATAGCGCACCTAGATGGTAGAAAAATCCATATAGCATTCTGGAATGCGAACAATTATGTTGAACCAACGACCTGTCGAGTCGGGGGGAGGAGTAGCGTTTCGCACGTTTGCTTGTTTCTTTCGCTAGTGAGACCTGTAGAAGAGAGTCTCGCGAAGTATGAGCGAATCTCTTGTCGTTGCATAGGGTTACGGAAAATTTACAGGCTTCCTCAGAGGGTATTGACAGCATTGGATGAGAACCAGCAAAATGACTCCATCAACTGCGCAAAGACATGGCAAGGCATAACAAACTCTCAAAGCTATTCATCACACGCCTATGGCCATGGTTCTAGCACAAAACAATTTCTAATTAACACATTTAGGGAGCATTATTCTGCGTCTGTGTTACTGCGGTCTCTCGCATAGACAAATGTAACTGGTCGACATACACTACATGTATTATCTTACATTGGGAAACTATGCTTACATCGGATCACCCGACTGCCGCCGAGCGGTCCTCCATCTGTTTCATGGTCCGGCTTCGCCGCGCCGACTTGGCTTAGCCAGGTACTATTCCCCTTGGGCAGGTAGAATGCACTAAATGTGCCAAACGATGGACAGTTATTTTTTATTGAAATGCAAGGAAATGAATTGAAAAAAGCTCAACATCAGTCATTATCTACCAACATCTGGCCCCTTGCTTACTACAGACTTTCAACCGTGAGAAGGCTGCACCATATCATTAAGGACCGCAGTTGCGACATCAGAATGGGTAAAGTTGAATTAGTCCGGATGAGTCCTTAACACCCGGAAGAGGCATAACTGCGGAGTCATGGGTGGCACTGAAAAGGAGAACTTCACATTGCCTTGTACATGTCAAAGTACGTGTCACACGAAGAGCTCGAATGTCACGGAAGGAACGTCCCCACTCCCAGTTGTTGGGTTCCCTCCTTATTTTGCTTCAGTTGCGACCGCCACCTCCTAACACATCACATAGCAGGCAGATTGCGCGAAAATTTTTTGATTGATGAATTTCCTGTACCCCACTCCCCCTCCCCGATCGACATCATATCATGCATGCAATAGCGAATACTTCAATGAATGGACGACCTGATTCCGTTGACATCAAAGGAAAGAGTTCACGTGAGCCTCTAATACTCGGCATTAAGCGGTAAGAAGTGATAAAAATTCAGCGCAGATGGTATCTTATCCGTTTTTATCGATTGATAAGATTACCTGTCACCCGTCATCAATGTCCTCATCACTAAATCTCTATGATTTGGTAGCGTGAACCACCTTGAACAGCGACGACGACTGCAAGCTTCTTTTATCAGCCCTTTATCAGTAGTTATCGCTTCCAGTCACCCACGGTTGATGTCCCCATCTCACCCTCTATATCACTTGCTGAAACGTACGCCTCGCTGATGCTGTGACCTGCGCTGTGAATACGATGACCTCACCTTTCTAACGCCCCTTATCGAATCTTATCAGCAGCTTACAGTTCTTGCCACCCCTTGGCCCATACCCTGCATCATATCTTAGAATCAAGAGCTAGCTGATGCTGTCACCCGCGTTATGAATATGGTGACCTTCCTTCTAACGCCTCTTATCGGATCTTATCAACTGATATCACTTCCTGTCACCCACCAATAGTGTTCCCGTCACACCCCTACATCACTTCTTAGAATCAATGTCTCACACTGCCAATGGGACCTGCCCCTCCCCTATGAATTTCGTGACAGACACACCACACACCCAGACACCCACACACAAACATACACATACACATACATTCACATTAACACACACAGACATACGTAGCGAATTATATAGAGTAGGATGAAACTGCTCCTGATGTGTGAACTGTTGCATTCTTCCACACTCATCTTCAAGGGATCAATTGTGATCTTGATGTCTACACACGTGAACAGCCAACCCTTACAAACGCAAGTTCTTTGAACCAGTCGCAGAAAACAACCCATGCTACTCTTCTCTCTTCATCTCTCGCAGTTCCTCAGCTTACTTTCACTCATTTTCATTCAGAAGATTGGGTTGTTTCTTAACCGATTTATTCTCCTTCTTCTTACTCTTCACAGTTTATCCCAATATGTGGCAAGGTTTGCTGTTCTGGTTTCGTGACGCCATTTCTCCCAGTTAAACGCCTGAGTGGGGGGGGGGGGCGTTGGCTATCTTCGAACCCATGTGCAGCGTGTCGGACCAGTGTTGCTTGAGGCGTCCTTTAGACTCCGTTCATAGTCCAACAGCGTCTAGGGGTGGAGAGTATAGAGCGATAGGAGAGTAGCAGAAAGCTGGCACCCTTGTATCGCCACATACTCTTCACTCCTGGATGACGGTGGGCGCTGGTAGACGCTGAACCGATATCTATACTTTTCTAGTCGCCAACGCTGCCGGGCGCTACGAGCACTGCGTCGCTGGTGAACGCTGCTGGGGAAAGCTGCTGCAAAGTATGAACGCTTCCTCAGGACGCTTTTCGAGTACTTCAAGCTGGAGAACGGTATTCAGGCAACAGCACAGTTTATCATGCCAAGGTGAACATGGTGAACAAAAATAGACGCGAAATGGTAACGCAGGAAAAGACGACCGTGAATAGTACAATAGATACAATGAGATAGTGATAATGTAACAACAATCTTTTTGACATTGAATGGTCCATTGAATGCATAGAATGGCATACAAAAATCTGCTTCCACAGCTTTCCGAATTTGTATGCATTTAGCATGATAAAAATATGATGCATGCAATTGTATAGCAATGCATACAAAATATATTATAAAAGGAAAATCCGTGGGAACCCGTCGGATTTCATGCATTTGAATGCGCTTCCAACAAAGGGATATCGTTTAATATTTAAAATCCAAATGATATGACGGCAATATAAAAACCGGGCGAGTTGCTTTGATACATACATGGAGCAATTTTCAAATCCTTCCATCAAGATTAAGTATTTCCAAGCAAAAGATCTTTTGCAGTTTGTTGTGAGGCTGACGTCACCAATCTCTTCTTTGTAGATTTGTTTGGTTGACAGCAAGATGTCATGTTTCGGGGTCTCTAGCTACTAATGTGATTTTAGTGTTATTTAATTATTTGGTACTTTTGTAATTATTATAACATCGATGTTTAAAACTGTTTACAAAAACAAGTTTACATATATTGAAACTTCAGCATTCAACCTTGTTTTTATTTATATCTTTATTGACTTAAGGAAGTAGTCTAAGCTGGAAAGCACTCATTTCGAAGCCTTCGGCGTTGATTGACCACCTTCCGAACACCTTAATTTTATACCCCTCTCAGAATCGCACTGCCCATTGAGCGCTATATGAATCATACAACGAATCATATACAAAGGGAGGGGACGGGGTACAAAAAGACTTTTCTCCTTGACTTCCAAGTCGAAATGAGGTCGACATTTTGATAAGCAGCTGAGTGGGCGACGATTGTCGTCCCACTAGCTGGGGATTGGCGACTATGGGTAGAGAAAACCAATTGGAACGTGTCCGAATTGTTCAACAGCCGATTTCGTCCATGAAAGCATGGTGTAAGAAGGTTTGACGAGAAGCTGTTAAAGCTGTGGCTGCAGTTGTCGGCGGTCATAGAGAAGTATTTTGACCGAGGAGACAAACGAAGTGATTTCCTAGGGGAAAAAAAGCGATACTTCTTGAAGTATATAAACGCTGAAGCGGTCCCATGCAGATAGGCTAATGTGAGTAAGGGTAATCAACATAGGCAGACTGAAGTTGAATCCAATTATACGCGACATCTCTGGCGCGAAAATATTCCTTTTTTGCGACCTTGTTCCCACGCTCCACGTGAATGAGGCGGGAGTATTCCATGAAATTTCAGGGTTTATCTTGAAAGTAAACAAGAATAGCGAAGCCTTACTAGCTTCTGCAATGAATTCTGACCATTCTTCAATTTTTTGGCGTATAAACGCCTTAGCATTTATGCGCATTCTTCGAAAATAGGGGAAAAATGTTCTGTCCACGCGGCAAAACCGGAAGAGCGCTGATCGCCACATTTTATTAAACTCTGATTGGACGGTTCCACCATCGTATTCAACAACACAATGTACACTATCACAGAGCTCCGCCACAGCCTTCTAGACGAACGCCATCGAGAGATTCTGCCACGCGACCGTGATTCGGTGCTTGAGTTCAGCGAGGTCGTTGATTTCTCCGCCACTGTACA